CACTCTCTCTCTCTCTCTCTCTCTCTCTCTCTCTCTTTTTATATTACGCCGTTTTATCACACGCAATTATACGTGTCGCACCTACACTTACATATTTCTCTACTCCGATGATATAATTTCGTTTTCTTTTTTTTTGTTTTTTTGCGTGATTCCTATCCGCGTAACTGACTTCTCCCGGTTGCATTTATAATATATTTATATATATAATTGTGCTAAATATTCTTTTATCAATAACATGTTTTCCTTTATACACTCAGTAGAGCCGATTATTTTATCTGGTAATTCAATGTCGTACTAAGCTACAAATGATTACTATACAGTGAAAGAGAAATGTTCGACAATGGGATTAACACAGGAGATCTTTTTCCTACATATGTATTTCCCTGTCGATCTTTGCTTTCCACGCTCCTTCTTTTTATCCGCTATACATTCGCAATGTCGAAATGTGCTGTGGCGCTCCGGTGTCGCGCGAAATCAAGAGGAAAAGAAATCGGCAGCACTTCTTCGGTCGCAGCAATTTCGATATATAATTATGCGGTTCGTGTGACAAGTAACGCGTGGTGTAGTTAAATGTCCGGACGCTAAATCGATCTTTGCTTTTGAGTATGATATTACAGGGGGACGCGCAGAGATGAGCCGAAATGGATAATTAGATAGGTATGCATGGAGTAACGTGATTAAGTAAAATATGTCGAAACAAGTTTTGTAGCATAATAATAATCGGGGAACGCTGTTGGTTGCAGGCGACATGTCTTGCATGGAGCCATGGCAGGTAGTAGAATGCCGCTACTGACCGTTTTATATCCACCTTTACACCTTGGTGTATAGGTAGATGGCGACGATCAGACCGTAGAGACCCAATACTTCGGCGAAGATCAGAATCAGGATCATACCGACGAAAAGACGAGGTTGCTGAGCAGTGCCTCTCACACCAGCATCGCCCACGATACCAATAGCAAAGCCGGCTGCTAGACCAGAGAAGCCTACAGCTAAACCAGCACCCAAGTGGGTGAAACCCCTGATAAGCAGAACGAAAATATCTTGGTTAATTACAGAGTCATCTTCCCCCGCGAGAAGTACACAGCGTTTCACACTCTTTTGTCAGAACGATAGCGCGGATGATAAATACGCAATTACAACCATACTGGGGAGGAACGCTGAGCAGTCATACATAAATCTTTACTTATTTATATATTTATGTAAAGATTTGTGTAAGACGTGATATAACAGTAGATTCGTATATTTAATGTTATTTGAAATATACGTACGCATACAGATCGTAACCGGCTGCGGCGCTTCTAAGATTGCCGGAAATGAGTACGGCCACTACAAGACCATAAATGGCAATGATACCCGCCATGACAACGGGAATAATCGATTTCATGATTAATTCTGGCCTCATGACAGACATCGCTGCGATTCCTGTACCAGCTTTTGCTGTGCCATACGCTGCTCCCAGAGCTGTAAAACAAATCAACAAATCGTTTTATAAATCGTAATAAGAAATAAAGCAATAGGAATTAAATGTTTTGTATACAGAACTAAATAATAGCGATAATAGTAGTAAATATAAAACGTTTTAAAAATATTTTAAATCTAATTAAAAGTGTTGAATTAACTTCTAGTAGAATAAAAATAACATCATAACCAAATTATATTATACTATATAAATAATCATCATTAAAATTTTCTTCCAATTTAATAATAAAAGGAGAAGCAACAAGCTGTAACGCAGCATTGAATTAACGTATGTCGCAAATAAGATGTATGTAAGCCACTCTTTCTCTTTCATTTTCACCTTAATCATAACGTTTCATAACGTTAATAAAAATTTTCCGATAAACATTCCCGAGATGTTCCTCTGGAATTCGGAACAATTTTATCTAATTGTTTAAAAAAACACGATGGTGAACCATAGGATATGAAAATTCATTTTTAGAGACCGACGCGGTAGATCTGTCCATAAACGAAATTTCGCGCGAATTAATTCCCGTGCCATAGGGGAAGTGTCTTGAAAAAAAAAGGAAAAAAAAGAAAAGAACTCGTAAAACCTACACTAACGTAACGTCATGTGATTTCCGGATGCATGATGCTTATACTTGTTGACAGCTTTTCAGCTGTGCGAGCTGAAAGCGTCAGGATTATCGATCGAGCTTGTTGACGATCCCAATGGAGAAACGACGAGAATAATTTTCACTTCCGAGTAATTTTTCTGTTTCCCCCCCCCCCTTATCGCGATATATTTTCCATTTGTAGAATCCCGATCTACCTTGCAGAATCCCCGCGGGGATTTTGCAGGTGTCGTTGTAACACCGGGACACCAAGCCCAGCCTGGTAATCGCAGTCACATGATTCTCACGTTGGCAGTCACATGACAATCGTACAAGTCCCATCTCGTGAGTAGGGGGGCGTGGCAGAGAGAGACACGCAGATCATGCATTTTTTTCCTCTCTTTTTCTCCTCTGTCCTTCCTTTTTTTCCTCTCGCGCTTTCGGCCCTAACGGTCCCGCTCTCATTACCGTGGCCATTTAATCGTGGCCGTCACCGTGGCCATTTAATCGCCTATCGTGAACCTTATCGTACACATACGAACGCGCAACACCTTATCGTATATAAATAAACATCTGGCGCTCGTGTGACCAGTCCGATGTACATGCGGTGTTGATAGATCAAACAAGTGGGCTATCTTCTCTCATCTTTCAGAGTTCGTCTTCGCCGGCTGACTTCTTTCGCGGAAGAAGCGAGCGAGGACGTAGAAGTGAAATCGCTTTTATCGGGAACACATGCGAGGCGACGACTCGTTATCAATTCGGGTGCTTTTGTCGGAATATATATATATATATATATCGCTTCTCGGAAATCGAATGAACGAAAGCGATCAATTTCATGACTGGAGGTGGAGAAGAACTTAATCGATTGATTAGCGATCGATATCGATACTCTTCGGGGAAAGATGACGAAGATAATCGCGATCACATTCCCGTTGACAGAAAGGCGACCGAGGGCGCATACGGGAAAAGGCATTCGTATTGATCTTCCCGACGAGTAAAAGCGACGCTCGCGGCAGTGGTGGCGGCGGCGGCGGTGGCGGCGGCGGTGGCGGCGGCGGTGGCAGCGGTCCCCGGGGGTCGGCGTTTATCGCGAATTCGGAAAAATCATTAATTGCAAATCGATACGCGAGTAAAGAGTACTGTTTTTGCCTCGCAAAAGAAGAGAACGACCTGCACTTTCTTCTTATCGCGTGAGCCGAAACATTTGCGCGCTCCGAAAAGAATAGCAAAAGAAGAAAAAAACAAAACTCGCGCCGTGGCATCGAAATTTGCGTTAGAAATCAGCGCGAAAAACAACGAGGTGTAGAGAGCGCAGGTAAGGCGCAGGTAAAGTGCAGGAGCAACTCGGCGCGCTGTGTCGCGGGGCGAGGCGCGGCGCGAGGGGAAACGCGTCTCGTGACACGCACGAGGCGCACGCCCGCTCGCGTATTCCGTCCCCTGTCTGTCTGCTCACTCATCCGTCTGTCCGTCTGTCCATCTCTTTCCCGTCGACTCTCTCTTTTCCGAGGCTCGTAAAATTCTAGCGGCGTGCGGCCCGCCGCGCACGTCCGAGGTCAGCATTACGAAATAGCTATGCCCGGCCCGGCCGCGGCGGCTATTCCGCTCGTTTGCTAATAAAGCGCATTTCCCGTGGGGAGTACGCGTGAGCGTACTCGGTAGACGCGATTTCTTGGACTGCGTTTCCTCGAAATTGCCAAATCCGCGAGCGAGAAAGAGAGAACCCGAACGAGCGTATAGAGGCCCAATGAAATAAAGGAAATCATCAACGGCGGCTGCGGGAGCCGATCTTTGTCATGAGATAAGATAACACGGGCGAAATTTTCATGCCGAGCTTCGTCATTCCGGTTCGTCACGCGGCTCGTGGCACATGATGTCGTCGCCGCTGCCGCCGCCGCCGCCCGCCGTCAGCCGCCAACGACGACGACGATGAAGATGATTACGATGACGATGAAACGCAAGACCCACGTACGCCCCGTGGAAAACGAAGCTCTCCCCCGCGTTTCTTCTCGCGAGAAGGATCGATAATCCGCGCGCGCCGCGCCGTTCGCACACAATTTTCGTCTGTCTTTACGCCGCACGAGAAAATGGCGTGGGCGGTTATCCGTACCTACAGGCGATGGGGACAACGGGGACGACGTCGACGAGTCGCGTCGACGTCGTTGTCGACATCGATGTTGACGTTATTGCCGACGTCGACGAGCGACGACATGCCACATGAAGATTAGGCGAGCGCGCCTCGTGACCTCGTCACCACCGACGTCGCGAGCGAGCGCACGAATGAATGAGCGAGCGAGCGAGCGAGTAAGCGAGATCACGAGGTGGCGATGGACAAACAATCGAAACTCACCAGAAAATATGATGGCAGAGGCGGCGCCCATAACGCCGAAGAACGGCGAGTACATTGGGGGGTCTTCTGCACTCATTGTGGCCTGGTTTGTCGGGTCTCGGTGGTCGAATCGATCGCGAGCAGTATTTACAGGTTGCACGGGGATCGGTCGCGCGAGATCGTCGAACGCAGAGCGATCTTCACGTCGCTCACGTCGCTAAACTAGTGGCTCACTGTCAAATATGGCCTACCGGGGTACAGTGGCGCGGGTCATGTGATGAGTGACGAGTGGTCAACGCGGTGCCGTGGAAGGTGGCCGCTGTCGCCGTGTGTCGCGTCAGTCGCGCCGCGATTGGCCGCGCGTCCACCCCGCCGCCAATCGCGCGTCCCGTATTATCCCCAGCCGGCTGACGTTGGGACGGCCGATTGGCCGTATCGGTTATGCGCTTGCGCGTCGAGGCGAGCCATCGCGAGCGCGTGATACGCGTTTTCCCTTCGGTTTTTCGTCCCGTGCTGCCTTTTTCGAACGATTTCTTGTCGTGAGATATCACGCGAATGTCTTTCGCGATCGCGCGATATTCGTTCACCGGAATCACGCGTTTGAAATTTCGCTCTCTTGGACGAAATTGCCGTTTACGGACGGCGAGCACATGATTCGCGTGTTTGAACTTCCATGTCAGCTGAGTAGATACGTATCGTGAAATTTCAAAGAGTAGGGTGAACTCGTGAGTATCGACGTGAATATCGCTGAGATAACGACACGAAAAAATATTATACACATTTTTTCGTTTCATGATAAAAGTTTCATATCGTATTTTATTGTTGTATTATATTCCATATCACACAACTTTCGCCAAAAATAATATTGTGGCCCTGACCTAAATACGCCATTTTATTAAAGAAACTTTCAACTTGGATCGAAATATATGGTGTCTCATAATTCACAAACATGGATGCGTATGATGTATGATATTCCATATCGATTGTGGAAAAAAGCTTTCCTCTTAATATATTTCGGTAGATTCGAATAACTTAATTATTCTTATTTTATTATATTATTTTTTATATTTTCGAAGAGTTTGAATCGGTGTGATTTAATTTTAAAACTTAAAATTATATAAGATTTTTTGAAACCGCCATTCTTGAAATATTAAATTGTGCAGTTTTTTGGTTCATTATATTCTGATATTTTATCAATTTTTGAATTTAATAAAGCAATATATAAGATTATTACATTACAAATATAAATTTAATAAAATTGTTCAATTTGAAGCTATTTTTATGAGCTGAATTTAAAATCCAATCGGGCTTAATCTGATAAGTAGGATTTTATCTGATAAGTAGGATCTTTGAATGCATTTAGAAGAAATACTTATAACGCCCTCTCGATTGGATAAATTTTAGGGTGCACCTCGACGGATAAGGGTGCATCTCGACGGATAAAGAAATAGCAAAACAGAACGGAAAAGACTGATGGAGGATAGCCAATCAAATTTTGTTTCTATTCCGTTCCGCTTTTAGCGTCTCTTTCACCACCTATTAATTTAACCTAATTTAATCAAATGATTATTATATTGGAATTAACTAATCGCATTTGTGTTAAATTAACTCGTGTTATAATTGACCTTCATTGGCCCAGACCAGACGGCCTTATGCTATACAGCTATGTCAGCTATGCTGTGCAACTATGTCATATTCTATGCATTTTGTATTGTAATAGCCAACTCTGATTGGCTATTTCTCATCATATGCCTTTTCTATTCTTGTTCGTATCGCAATTTTATTATTCTTTGGAATGCATCCTTAGGAAGTACTGGCTGCGTTCAGCACAGAAAGCAGCTTTGTAAAAATGCTGTGTAAAAATCTTTGATATAATTGGTTTTTGCCCATAATTACTCATGGATCTAAATGTATAAACCAATCATATTAAAGGATTTTATAACAATTTCAAAGCTGCTTTTTCTGCAACCAATGCTTCAAACGCGTTTGAACGGTCGGAACTAGCCGCCATAAAAGAGGAAGAAAAAGCGTGGGAAATTTTGGCAAGTGAAGAAAAGATATTTGATTGATATTGAAGATGAAATTCTCATATAAGGTAAAATATTTGTTATTTTAAAACGATTGACATTTTTATTTATTTTTCTTTAAGTCATATTTTGATCATATAACATGCGTGTAATATTTCTAACCTATAATACAATTTAGTATTTATATTTTTTTAATTACAATTGATAAACATCTTCAATAAATTTTATTTTGTATATTTATTATTTATATTTATAACTTATAATTTATGTTAATATTTTTTTAAACCGTATCTTGATCATGTTAAATTATAACACGCATGTGGTATTCCTAACCTATAACACAATATTTGCTTTTTATATTCTTTTCTTTCAGTTACACTTAATAAATGTTTTTAATAAATTTTATTTTGTATATTTAGTTGTTTTTGTATATTTATTTTATTGTAACTTGTAATTTATATTATAATTATTAATAATTATTAATAATTGTATAAAAAATGCAATGACAAATTTTGTTATGTAGACATTTAATATTATAATATTTAATAATAATATATAAAAAAGTAAATATTAATACATCGAGTAATATTTCTTGTTTTTTCTGTTACAGTTTAGTAATTTACTTGGCACAGTTTATCGAAAAGGAGACTTACTCTTTTCTTCAAATGGATCATCTGTCATTAGTCCTGTGGGCAATAGAATTTCAATATTTGACTTAAAAAAGTAAATATAATAATCTTAATATAAATTATCTGAACATTTTATAAAACAAAACAGTTTTATAGTAATAATTGTTATAATAATCATTACATATTTTTATATAAAATTATTTTTTAGCAATAAATCTATGACACTTCCTGTGGAAAGCAGATTTAATTATGTTACTATTGATATATCACCAAATGGTACTTTGTTAGTAGCAATTAATGCAGGTACGATTTTTTACACAATATTTGTAAAAATTATTTAATAATTATGAACACACTTGCAAGAGAAAATATAATTTTTTAATATGTTTATACAGATGGTGAAACTCATATTATTAGTTTGATAAGCAAAGTAATTCTACACAAATATAGATTTAAAGGACGACCCAAACGCGTGAAGTTCTCTCCAGATGGAAAGCATTTTGCAGTGTGCAAAGGAGGTGGTGGTAAGTATTTATTACTACAAACTTGAAAAGCCGCATGTATGAAAACATGTAGAAGAAGAAATTATTTTTTAAGCCAAGAAGAAACTTGGTTTACTTACTTGGTTTAATTAAACTTTGTTTAATTTCACACATTTATTCATTTATATCTTAGAATTAATAACTAGATTCATATTGCTTACAATATGTCTCTCTTAAGCTTTTCCAAAGAATGTTCCTATTTAGGAAAATATATAATTATCTAAGGTAACATGTTTGATATTTGTTTTAGTTTTTATTTTCAATGCACCGGGTTTACAAACGGGAGATTACAATCCATTTATTATGGAACGTTCGTTTCATGGGGCTACCGCTGAGACGACATGTGTTAGTTGGTCCTTTGATTCAAAGTTACTAGCAGTTGGTTCGAAAGATAGCACTGTGAAGATATATGGTTTACAAAAATGGGCAAATTTTAGATATATTACATTAGGTGGTCATTCTGATGTGATTGTGGCATGTTTCTTTGAAGCGAAACAATATGACTTGTACACTATCAGCAAGTAAGCGATATAATTTAAAATATTCATATTGTATCAATTTTTTGTTTTTGCTATTTGACATGAATGTTTTTTCTCATGCAGTAATATTGTATATAGATAACTTGACTCTATTATACCTTTTCGGAAAATTTCTTTTACAGAAATGGTCGAGTTTGTGTTTGGGAATGTACACTTGAACCAGACGACTGGGTTGAGTGGGAACCACCTTCAAAAAAGGAAAAAGCCAATGATAGCGATAGCGAGGATGATATTGATATAGAAAAAATTATAGAGAGGACAGAGAAGCAAAAAGCTCGTGCTGAACTTGAAGTATTAGACTCAGGTAATAATAGTTTCTTTATTATTCTAAAAAAATTGAAATTATAATTTTATTGTGAATAATTAAAGATTTAATAACACATGAGTAGTAAAAAATAATAATTTTGCTATATTGCAATTTATAATTTTATATTATTTATAAGAAATAATAGATAATTTACAAAAGAACATGCATCTTATTCTAGATATGCCACAAGACAATACGGAAGAGGTCGTACAAGAGGAAGATAAGACAATCAAAATGTTGGGTTATAAAAAGCGAGCTACTTTTTATTTGGCGGACGAAGTTCACAAACAAGATAAAGATGCGAAACTTACTGCAGCTGCTTATCATCAAGATACTCATATATTGGTTATTGGATTTAATAATGGTTCATTTTACTTATATGAAATGCCACATGCCAATTTGATTCATTCATTAAGGTACAGTAATATTTTCAACTTAATGTTAAATGATATTAGAAATTAACTGACTTATGTGATTCATTCTTATAGTATTTCTCGACAACGTATTTCATCAATCGCGTTAAATTCTACTGGAGATTGGATAGCTATAGGATGCTCCCATGCTGGCCAGCTATTGGTTTGGGAATGGCAAAGTGAAACATATGCCATGAAACAACAAGGACACAGAACCAATATGAACTGTTTAGCATATAGTCCCGATGGCCAATATATTATAACGGGTGGTGACGACGGAAAAGTTAAATTGTGGAATACGATGAGTGGATTTTGTACGCTCACATTCCATGAACACACTTCATCGATATCCAGTGTTTTATTCAGTCATAATCGTAAATTTGTCGCATCCGCCTCTCTGGACGGTACAGTGCGGGCGTACGATCTAGCGAGATACAGAAATTTCCGAACGCTCACGTCGCCGCGTCCAGTGCAATTCTCCTGCTTGGCGATTGATGCGAGCGATGAATTTATCGCAGCGGGTGGTCAAGATTTCTTCGATATCTATCTGTGGAGTATGAAACTTGGATCTCTCTTAGAGGTATGTGTAACCTTATTTGTCTCTTAGATGCTGAATTGTGAACTTAATTCTTATAATTGGGTAGTTTAAGTGACATAAGTATATAAGTTTCGCGACCGAAATAATATAGTTAAAATAAAATACTTGATTGATTCAATTTCAGATATTGAGCGGTCACGAGGGACCTATCTCAAGTTTGGCGTTCAGTCCTAATCCCGCTAGTACGGAAATGGTGTCTGTATCCTGGGACAAAACATTGAAAATATGGAATGCCATTGAGAATGGCTCTGCTCATGAGACGATACAATTGACCGCTGATGCACTTTGTGTAACTTATAAGCCAAATGGAGAAGAAGTTGCTGTCGCTACGTTGGATGGACAAATTACATTTTTCGAATGTAAAACAGCTAGACAAACGGGCTTTATCGAGGGCAGAACTGACTTAGGCGCTGGTAGATCTAAAACGGATCTTATCACAGCGAAAAAGAATTTGCAGTCTAAGTGAGTATTTTGGTAACGAAATTTTCATAAGAAATTTCATGATCATGTATGTCTTAATGATATGCTAAATTTTATTTTTTTTAGAGCTTTTACTACATTATGTTATTCAGCTGATGGTTCATGCATATTAGCTGGTGGTCGTTCCAAGAATGTATGCATTTATAATATTGAAGAATCGATACTGTTGAAAAAATATGAAATTACTCAGAATAGATCTCTGGATGGTGTGGACGTAAGTAACGTTTATATATCTTGTCTAATATTTCAAGTTTTTTTTCTTTTATTAGACTAGCGCAAAATTAATTGCGAAATAATTCAGATCTATTTTTATTTTTAAAGTAATTTTTATTCTGGCAGGATGTTATAAATAGAAAGTATATGTCTGAATTTGGTAACAAAGCTTTGATTGAGCATCGTGAAGGCGGAAATATATCATTACGATTACCAGGTGTTAAAAGCGGAGATATGGCAAGCAGAAGAGTCAAACCAGAAGTGAGAGTACTTTGTTTACAGTTCTCTCCTACAGGTAATTAAATAATTTGTTAATTTTGCTAATTTTATTTGAAGTAAGCGTATCATTTAATACGTTGTGAAACAGGGCAAGCGTGGGCAGCAGTAACAACAGAAGGCTTATTGATATATTCTTTGGATATTGGATTAATGTTCGATCCATTTCAATTGGAGCTTGGAATTACTCCAGATACTGTGAAAGAAACGCTTGACAAACACGATTATGTCAAAGGTATAAATATTTTTACTACAATTAATAATAAAGAGATTAACAAATATTATTATTAACAAATATTACAATTGAATAAGAACCTTTAATAAAACTATTGTTATTGTTTTAGCACTAATGATGGCGTTGAAATTAAACGAAAAATTATTAACTCAACAAGTTATAGAAACCATTCCGTATAAAGAAAGTGAGTTTTTATATAGTTTTAATATAGTAATTATTTAAACATTCTAATGATTTTAACGACAATACATATAATGAAAATTGTTTGATTTTTTGCTGTTATAGTTAAATTAACGCTGACGAATATGCCAGATATGTATATAGAAAAGCTATTAAAATTTATAGCATCTGAATTGGAGTCAACAAGGCATATACATTTTTATCTTTTATGGATAGAAACAATCTTGACGAAATATGGATCACGGATCAATACTGCATTACAAATGCCAGTGCTATTAATGCTACACAAAAATATGCAAAAGAAATATGATGATCTTAGCAAAATGTGAGTGTTATTATATCTTTTTTACCATGTATAATACACGTTAGTATAAATATGCAAATAATTGGAATTTTTACAGATGCGATTTTAATCAATACACAATAAGCTATATATTGAGAATAGGAGAACTGAAATTTGCAAAGCAATCTACGATTATGATAGATGACGAATCTGACGTTTCTGTAGAAGAAATAAGTAGAGATTAAGCATTATTTAAATTTTTGTTTTAAAAGGAAAAAAATATTTTGTATATATGTATATAAATATATATATTTAATATGTATGTTTATTTATACAGGATGTTTATTTTAATCTATCACTCCATAAAATTTTATTTATTTTTAATTTTAGAGAAAAATAAAAATTTTATACAAAAATTGCAAGATTTTGAGGGGTCATATGATTATAATATTAATCGGTGTAGAGACAACTTGCAGTTGTTTTAAGAAAAAAAAGTAGTTACTTGAACTATCGTTAAAATTTTTTTATGTCTTTTTTTTTAAAAAGGAATTGTATTTTTATTATGATTCATCTGGTTATATTTAGATAAAAAAAAATATTAAAATATAAATATCAAAAAGTTAACAGTTTATGAAATATTTTATATTTTATTCTCACATATTCTGATGTAAAATATTAAATATTTTGTAAACTATTCATTTTTTGGTACTCACTATTTTAATACTCTCATGCATAGAATAATAAGACAAATCAATTGATGCTGGCGAATGCGAATTCTATGAACGGCATTAATATAACATTAAGATGTTTAATAACCAGTAGTGTTATTAAGTATGCGTACACTTTAATAAAATATTAATTTATGTCGACAGTGTTCACAGAGCTTACTAACGCTGATACTATCACGCTGACAAAGAGATAACGTGAAGTTGTAACGTAATTCATCTCCATTATGCCATTATGTTGGATTTACAGATTAAGATCAAGATTAGATTAGAATAGAATTGGCAACGCGCTTCTCGAATGAAATAAAGGTATAAAAAAATAGACAAATTGGAAAAAAATATATTTCATTTTTAACTTAATTTTCAGTTGACATACGCAAATAATGATTTTAACTTATTTACAAATTCTAATTCTATGAAAAGAATGATTAGCCAGAATTCGTTTTGTTACGACGCTTTTGTTATGGCGCTTTTAAGCAATATTATCGGCCAATATAGAACGACGAAGAGTAAGAAGATTATAGGAAAAACAATTCTGCTGTAGCAATCTATCTTCTGAGAACGTGTTTTGTGCGTTTGCATTATCTGACATTCAGGATCTACCCACAAAGTTGATAATAGATTATTACTGGTATGTTTATTCTTTGGTTTGGTCGCATGAATAAACTTATCGTCCCAAATGCTTTGTCTCTTTACCATTGCCATTAATCGCTAAAAAATAATCATATTTAGTGAATAAGTTGTAATTTTATCATCATTAAGATTGTTGATAAGATCACCGTGAGCAATATTTGAAAAACGAACCGAGAATGAGCGAGGTTCCGTAGAACTTTGCGAATCATTTTTGACGTGTCGCAGGTCGAGCACCTTGACTACGACGAATTCGCCCAAAGCTGCGAACACGAACATCATACAACCAGCCATCCAGATATCCAGTGCCTGTGTGCAGCAAACGCAAGAATCTTTATATTAGAAAAGACGAATATCGATACGAGATATGTGAGAGTATCCGATAATAAGTGCGCAAGATGACTGTAACTTTGGAATACATTAGCAAACCTTACCTTGATATATGCCACTGGCGGGATATCGCTCTTAAGACCGGTGAACATTGTCACCAGCGTAAGCATACTCGTCACCAGAAGAGCCACTCGACCAGGAATCGCGTCCAAATCTAGCCAGAAGCTGAACCACGAGAGCATCACCACCAGCGTCGACGGGGCGAACGTTTGTATCAAGTGGTGACCGATCTGTCTCTCGAAGCGAAAGAAAACTACCAGCCGTGAGAAATTTCCTGTGAAAATCAAATATGTATTTATTATATTCTTTACTTTGCACATAATCTTCTTCTTTACTACAATTACAACTCAGAAAATACAAAGTCCAAAATTGAAACATAGGACGTTATCTTAAAGACGTCTTAAAAACATATTTTCGAGAGATGTCTAAAAGACGTCTTATGTCCCGATTTTGGATTTCAGTGTTGTCTGGGAAAGTAAGAGTTTAGGATGATTCGTTCCAATGACGTTGGACAAAAAAAATCGAGCTTTGATGTCGACATGCACTTTTGCAACAAAGGAAAAGAGTATATTGAATATTAAATTTCAATTGTTGATGCGTACCATTTTTTTCAAGCATGTAATCTATGGATTCTTCGAATACCGCTGGCTTTCCGATATCATATTGCAAAAGCTTCAATTCGGGATTTACCGTAACACCGCCTGCTCCCCATTTTAAGCGCAACTTCTTCCTGTTGTAAGAAACTGCAATAAATAAACGGATATGTTTTCTTTCGTCTCTCTCCTGTTCGCCATTTTAAATAATAATATGAGAAAGTGTAATTATATTATCCATTTTAGACTTACAGCTCTCTATATAAATTGGACAGATCTGAATGTCCATTGGATACAATTGAAATTCCATTTGACAGGCGACAATAGCGTTAATTCGAGCAGAATATTTAATAGTTTTATTCCGATATAACGTGACCAATGAGAATTTGTGGCTTAAAGTCGCAATCTCTTAAAAATTATTAATAAATGTAATGATTTATCGAGACGCGTGTGATTTAATTTAAAAATCCGTTTATGCTCACCGGAAACTTTCGAATTTAAAAAATACGGATCTGGTTGCCAAAGATTATCGAAAAACTCCGGTGGGAGTATGACATAGTCGTCGTCTTCCTCGAAAATATCTTGAGGCGTATTCAATCGAGATTCTATCCAACTTTGACTGACGAACATGTCCACGCTAATGAATACATATCAAACTTATATAACTTTACGTGACTTTTTTACATCAAGATTTTGTCTTAAATTAAGAAAACTTATACATCTTCATATCCTAATTAAATCCCATATTTTTCATATGTGTTCAATTCATCTAATTCTCTTGATTGCAGTTCAAAGTCAGTTTTTCATGGAGAGATCACCATACCGAAAATCCATGTCTTCAACGTTGATAGAATTAATATCGACCACCAAGATGTTGAAATTCACTATCACAGGTGCACCCGGCGGCGGTCTAATCTCTGCAGAGAGATTTTTATTCTTTTATTACATGCGATTGTGTGCTCGTGTGTTTGCGCGAAAAAACGTAAATGCGAGTCCTTCAGGGAGTCGCGTACCTTTGACATAATGCTCTGGCAGAATTAGCCTCGTCGTCATAGTGCAATTGTTGACATCCTCGCTGAACAAACTGCAAGAAATATCTCTCATCAGTCTTTTTCTTTTTGGTTTTTTTTTTTTTTTTTTTTCGTCATTGTTAACTCCATTCGCCTGTCAACGCTCGTCATTTTATTTATATTCTTCTGTATTATACCTTTGACGTTCCTGACTCATTGGGACTCATCTCGTTACATTAAACGCGGAGAATATTTCAATCCTGTAAGGCTTTGAAACGTGGACCTTCGAAATAGAACCTGCTGTTTATTTTTTCGCTTAGGTAACTTGTTTGATCGCGCGAGAGGCTGTTTTAGCGTAGCGGCTCAGTATCGCATCTCTGCGAAGAGATGAAAGGAGCCAGTAAGAGGAAAAATTGTTACTTCTTTAAGTAGAAAAAAAAAAAAGGTTCGACATTAAGGATCGATATATTACGAAGCTGAACATAAAACGATGACCGTTGATTGAAAGCTAATCAACGATTTCTCATGATAACGATTCCGCCGCCGATTTATCTCGAAGTCGTTATCGTAATCTGAAGCTATCGAGCTTCCAAGAAAATTAGCCGCTCGCTCCGTCTCCGTTTTTTTTTACCCTCCCCCTGATAATATGATGTTGGAAAGAAGAGCCTGAATTGAACTTGGACCCACTCCCCGCCGCGTCTCCGATGGAAAATTGCCGCACGCGTTTTTCCCCGCCGATACTCGAAGGCGATGAAAGATGCCGCGACGAAACGGCGCGCTGTGCGTAACGAGGCGAAAATGACTTTTAAAGGAGCACGAAGTCGTTTACCTCGAGGAGCATACTTCCGGGAGAGAATTCCAACACAGGTAAAGGAAAACTACTGAAAGTGTGCGCCTCATCGCAGCCGTGGACGTGGACGTCGACTGACGGCGACGATTCCCTGCGGCATCCCCCGCGCCGACCTGGGCGCGGCACGGCAATTAGCCAATTATTAATCGTTATTATTAATCGTCGCAATCTAGTCCAATTGCGTGCGAGTATCGTCATCCACTTTTGCACTCGTCTTGCAAATTGCTCGTCGTGAATTGCGTAACAAAATTTACCGTTCCGCGTAGACGCAGCTACCTGTGCATCTCGTTGAAGCTACAATGTGAACAATATTTACTCGACGCATCATTCCGATTTTTAACACCGGTTTGCTAATGGCATATGTATCGATAATTCCTTTACGTTCTTTTTCTTCTTTTTTTTTTTTTCTTAGTTTACAATCGCATATTCAGACATGCAGACACATGTTATTTCTACTATTGAAAAATAAATCTAGTGATTTAAAGAAATATTTGATTAAACACGGCGTGATCACTCTATCAAGCAAATATTTGTTAATTTAAAAAAAGTGTTCGTTTTGTTGATATTACTTATGTATATTAAATACAGAAATATTTGAATTGAAGGAATCATTAAACGTGTTTAATTGAATGACATTGAATTATTAATAGAAGTCGTTGGCAACTTTTTTTTTCAGTTCATACATCGTTGGCTTAATTTTATCGTTACATGTCTCAAGGAGAGAAAACACTGTAATGGCCTGAAAAATGAAGATCTTTAAGAATTTTTTACGAGAAAAATAAACAATGAATCTTTTAAAATTTGAAGAATATTTTATTAGATACATTTTTAAGTAGAAAAAAATTTTTTTAGTTTATTTAGGTTTCTATCTCCGCTGTATAAGGCTCGCTAGGATTTTTTATATTAAAAGTTTCCTTTAATTTTTCTTAACAATAAAAGATCTCATTTTTTCAAATGAAATTTCAAAAATCTTTTCAGAGATTATAACTTTGTTATTTTTTGAAAATTAATTAATTTTGAAAATTATTAATTTTTCTCTATGTCGGATCATAGCATATAATATGAACCTTATATAGATTATATAGATATTTCTAGTTTTTTTATTTCAGATGAAATTCAAAACTATCGAATCGCTATCAACCAGATACAGCAATCACTTTTAATTTACTCTCCTTATTATAGCGAAGAGATAAAATCTCTAAAAATAAATTAAAAAATTTTTTTCTACTTAAAAATGTACGTAATAAAATATCTTTCAAATTGTTTATTTTCTTTGTAAAAAATTCCCAAAAATATCTTCATTTTTCGGATCACTGTTTGCCCCTCCCCCCTCCCTCTTTAATCCCACAAAACATTCATCTCTCGGTGCTTTCGACATTTCTCTTTCTTCTTCTCTCTAATCTACTTCTTCTCGAGTAACTGTACAACTGTATCTGAAGACGACATTGATCTTGAGAAAGAGAGAGACGCGATTATATATACGCGACTATATATATATATATATATATATATATACGA